ATTGTATGTGAATTTCTTTTATTAGCCTACCTAATTGGTAATCTCAATATTCTGATCACTCCCCTCCCCCCAATTTTATCTTAGTATATTTAAGCAAATTTATTACTGCTGAGGCTGGGGACTATAATTAACCATCCATCATGTTTCTTGATGAAAGTAAGTCTGCAAACTGTTGAAATATTCCAATTGTGAGAAAGTGTCCTTGGTTTTTTACTTTACTACCCATAATTTAATTAGTAGTCACAGTGGGTCTTTTCTGAGAGGACTGCTTTAGAATGGCAAAGGGGAAATGAAGCCAACTATTGCCAGCAACTTGAAAGGCAAGGCATTTTTAGAAATTGATTCTATAATTAGTTCGGTTATTACCACTGGGATACAGGCATCTTAACTGCTCATCCACTTTTTGAATTTTTTTTTATATCAGCACATAGAAATTAGTTGACTTAAAAATCGGTTTGTGTATTTGAATGTGTGTATGTATGAGAGAGACAGAGAGAGAGAGGAGAAGGGGAAAGAGGAAAAAGGGGGAGAAAAAAAGAGGAGAGAGAGAAAAATATGTATATATATATGTATATGTATATGTCCAATAAATCATCTGATAGTCTATCTTCCATAATATTCAGGACAAATTTTTACGCTTCCCCCACCCCCAAACCTATTTATTTCAAATATCATTTCTCCTTTTTCTAATCTCTTGGTATAGGGAAAGTATTTTTAAAGAGAGGCAATGGGTTGTAGTGGAATAATGCTAGATTTGAGGTTAGGAAGACCTAGGTTTAAAGTGCCTCTGAGTAGCTGTGTGACTATGAATAGGTAAATCAAAAAATCTCTCTGAACCTCAGTTACTCCAACTGTTTAAATGGAGATAATACCTGTAGTAGATGCTCCAAAGGGGATGTTCTGAGGTGCAGAGAAGCTAGTAGAGTACCAGGCAAGCTTTAAAGTACTATGCAAATACCAATTGTCATTAAATCCTCTAGTAGTCACCCACTTTTATAAAGGAGGAGGGCAACTGGTGAAAATTACAGGCTTTGACCCATCAGGCCTTCATAGTCTAGTCATGGGTATTGCCCTCTATTCATGAAGTTCCATTTTGCTTTTAGAACTTGCTTGCCCTAAACCTAACTGGAAGACTTTTTACATGTTGATTAATCAGTCAATGATTTTTACATGCTTTTTATAAACAGAAAACACTTTTTTCTAAAGTATAGCTTTTTGCTTTTTTATTGCTTTTTAAAAACAAGTCTTCTGGATCTTTCCCTTATATTCATGTAGTGGGATAAACAGAAGAGTATATGTGGCTTTTCTCATGATATATGTTATTTTAATTATTATATTAACTCCTCCTTTCTCCCCCTCAAAAAAAAAAGACCCATCATTTCATTGGCATTCTGTGCAACTTAGAGTCTGAGAGGGTTTCCTGGGGTCACTGAGAGAAAGGGTAAGTATCTTGCCCAGGGTCACATAGTACATATCAGAAGCAGCACCTGAGCCCAGGTCTTCCTGAATTCAAGATCAGCTCTCTATTCCATAAGCCATGCTGCCTTTCATTATGCTCATTATAGTCTTTCAATTATTTTTCACAGACCGTCATTTTTTCTCCCATCTCTCTTTATTCCTTCCTCCATCCCTCTCTTTCTTTTTCTTTCTTTCTTTTCTTTCTTTCTTTCTTTTCTTTCTTTCTTTCTTTCTTTCTTTCTTTCTTTCTTTCTTTCTTTCTTTCTTTCTTTCTCTCTCTCTTCTCTCTCTTTCTCTCTTTCTTTCTTTTTCTTTCTTTCTTTCTCTCTTTCTTTCTTTCTTTCTTTCTTTCTTTCTTTCTTTCTTTCTTTCTTTCTTTCTTTCTTTCTTTCTTTCTTTCTTTCTTTCTTTCTTTCTTCCTTTCTCTCTCTTTTTCTTTTTGTTTCCTTCTTTAGCTTTTTTCTGTATTAATTATGAGAAAGGATCACAAATTTAGAGCTGGACCTTAAAAGCCATATAGCCCTACCCCGTCATTTTACAGATGAGAAAACTGAGACTTAGAGAGGTTTGGTGACTTGCCCAGGATCATGCAGCTAATAAATGCCTTAGGCAGTATTCAGACTTGGGTATTCTTGACTACAAGTCCATCACTCTATGCCAGCCTTTGTTCATATAATACTTTTTTTTAAACCAATAGGTTATATTTTTCCTCTAATCATAATCCTTACATCTTATTTGCTTTGCTCTTTACTGCTGTTCATTATTTGTATGAGCCTATAAAAAGAGTCTTCTTTGTAGTGTCTCAGATATCATGAAAGAACTGAGTGTAGATCAGAACAGAGCAGTGAATTGGGAGTGGAGAACTAGTGCAGGTTTCTAGTTTCCCCTCTACCTGGGAGAAAATTGTGGTCTGAGTCAGAGGCATGTTGCCGTTGCAAATGTTTTCACCCCGGTGGTCTGAGAGGAGAGTTCTTGAGTCTTGAATTACAGTCACCGGTGCTGGTAAGGCCATGGTGTAACCTTTTTGCCTGAGAAATGGCAGCTATGAAGAAGGGAAGCATGGAGCCAAGTATTAGGAGTTCCTGAATCCCAGGCTTTTGGAGGGGTATGGGGAGTTTCTGACTAAGTTTGGTTTCAACCTTGTAGTATCCAAGGTCATTCAATCCTTTCCAGTTCTTGGCAGAGAATGAAGAAGCAACATAGCTGATTAATAGTTCTACCTTCTTTTTGTTCGTTATCTAATGCAAATAATTGAGTATATGTTCTATGAGAATCTTCATTTCCTCCTTATGGTTAAAAAAATCCCTTTCATTCCTCATGCTGTACCTTTGTCTTCATCTTTGGTTCCTGTTGCTCCTGTCTTCCATACATGTCTTTTTTTTTTTAAGGCAATTGGGGTTAAGTGACTTGCCCAGGGTCACACAGCTAGTAAGTGTCAAGTGTTTGGTCTGAGGCCGGATTATGAGCTCAGGTCCTCCTGACTTCAGGGCCAGCGCTCTGTCCACTGTGCCACCTAGCTGCCCCCATACATGTCTTTTAAAAGTCTAAATACATTCACATCAGTCTCCTTAGACAACTCCCTCTTCCTACTGATCAGAATTTTTTCACTTTGTGTTTTCAGAATTTCATTCTTTAGAGTTAGAGTTCATAATATTTTAAGATGTATAAAATATAATACAAAAGGAAACCAATCATGTTGAAATACAACTAGCAAAATATTCATAAAAATCCAAATTTATGTACTCTAGGTGAGAATCCCTGTTTTAGAGCTTCTAATCCTCTTGGGTTGACTTTTCCTATGGAATTTTAGGCTATTTGATCTCACTCATTCTTTCCCTGAATAACTTCTAATTTGTTCTCTCACAATCAATCTCCATCCAGTACTTTTTGTTTTTCACTTAAATATCTCTGCAGTTTATAACTGTTGCTTGGTCTCTCTTGGATACTCTCTTTTCATACTTTAGTGGTTCTCCTGCCTCTCTTAATATTTTTTTATTTGTAACCTTTGTTCTCTCTTCTCTCTTTTCCTGATTCATACATGTATTGGTATTATGGTAATGACCTTCCCCTTCAGACCTTATGTAGCATTATATTTTGTAAACTCCTTAATTCAATTATCACGTAAAATTGTGTGTCATAACTATCTATAGTGATGGCTTAGCTCCTTATGAAACTCTAAGCTGCTTGAGGTCAGGGACCATTTTCTATCCAAAACTTTGTTTCTTCCCCAGTGCCCTGCTCATGGTGGTAATAAATGTTTGTTGATTTTGATTTGATTCCTTTTTTTTAAAACTCCTAATTTACCTGGCATATTCTTTGCATCTGGAATACTAACTGGTGCTTTAGGAAGAAAAGGTAGAATAATTAGGATAAAGGATAGAAGAAAACTCTCACCCTAAATTTTTTGTCATTAATAATCAAAGTAAATCAATTGATGAACTTAATACATGCACATCATACCTCCAATCCCTAATTGTTTGCAGGAAACCATGAGTTCAGATGAAACAAATTCCAGGGGGCAGTTAGTTTCATATTTTCAACAAGCAATTAAATTCAGTAAACATTTATTAAGTGCCTACTGTATGACAGGCACCATAATAAGTGTGGAGGATACAAAAAGAGCAGAAGACTGTCCCCACCCTCAAGGAACTTATAGTCTAATGGGGGAGACAATAAGCAAGAAAATATGGACAAACAAGCTATTTACAGAATAAATAGGAAATTATTAAAGGAAGGAAAGCACTGGAATTAAGGGGGATTGGTGAAGGCTTACTATAGAAGGTGAGATTTTATTTGAGCCTTAAAGGAAACCAGGGAGATCTATAGTGAGAGTGGAGGAGAGTGTTCCAGGCGTGGGACCAGCCAGATAAGATGCCTGGAGATGGAGTGTCTTGTTTATGGAGCAGCTAGGAGGCCAGTGTCACTGGATTGAAGAGTATATTATGGAGTAAGATACAAGGTGATTGGAAAGATGGGAAGGGTCTAGGTTCTGATAGGTTTTGAATGCCAAAAAGAACATCTTGTATTTGATCCTAGAGGCAATAGGGAGCTTATTGAGAAGGGGTGTGACATAATTGGACCTGAATTTTAGGAAAATCACTTTAGTTGCTGAATGGAGGATTGATTAGAGTGGGAAGAGACTTGAGATAGACAGGCCCACCTTCAGGCTACTGCAATAGTCCAAGTGATGGGGGACTTTGCCAGGATGATGGCAGTATCAGAGGAGAGAAGAGGGTATATTCAAGAAATGTTGCAAAGGTGAAATTGACAGACTTTGGCAACAGTTTGGATTTGGGGGGTTGAGAGATAATGAGGAATCCAGGATAAATACACCATTGGCTGAATGTTGTTACATCTCAATCTTTGCTTTATAGTGGCATTTAGACATAATATATTAAGACAGTTAATAAGAAATGACATTGTTTAGGGGAATTTTATGTTGGGGTATGCACCTAAAAATATTATCCAATCTTCACTTTCTGCCTTGTCTTTCTGATTCAAAGACATTATTTTCTACCCTACTCCCCTTTATCTTTTTTTAGGACTTGACCAGTGCTATAGAAGCAAAACAGAGTTTTGAGAGAGAAATTAAGATCTTACAAGAAAGACTAGCTATTGGCCAGAGGGCCTGGGATTCCACTAAGAAGGAGCTGAGCCGTCTGAAGAAAAATTCCTGTGAAACTGAGGAGAGTTTGAAGAACAGCATGGAGGAAGCAAAGACCTTTCAGAACCGTTTCTGTTTATTCATGGAGCAAATTGCCGACCTTCTAAGTAGAAACTCGGTGATGGTTAAGCCTTCAAAGGAAGATGTATTGGACAGAATACAGGAAATGAGCAAACAGGAAGAAAACAGGAAACAAGTAAGTGGACAGTTGTTTTTACTTAGTATTCTTTATTATAATTTAATAAAGCTTCACTAATTTGGGCTAATTGGGGTGGGATCTGGCTTGGGCCAATGTTTAAATATGTAACTTTGCTCCTTTCAAATATATCTGGAAGCTTAAACTAGGATAGCATCAAATAATATATTCTTTATTAGGTCCATTTCATGTATTGGAGTTTTACAAATGACCACATCAATGATATATAGATATATACCATTTCAGAATGTCTCAAGAAAGCTTAAAGGCCTTTGAAAATTACTTTTGCATATTTTTGCATGCTTTTGTTTTTGCATATTTTAACAATAACTATTTATTAATTGAGAACAGATAGACATTCATTCCAGGTAAAATGCTTTTTCCTCAGGGTTTCCTGCGAACTTCTGATTTTATTTTGTGACCAGCTCTTGTCCAGGTGTCTTTAGTTTCTTTGCCAGCATCAAACTAAGAAGGCACGGGACATAAAACAATTTTGTTATGCACCATAGAATCCAAAGTTAATGCATACCAGAGTTCATAGAGGGTCAAGAAAACTTTTTCTTCTGTTGAGTCCCACCTTCCCCAAGAATCTAATGTGGTTAACCTAGCCTTAGCTCTACTTTAGGTTTGACTGTTCTTCCAAGGAATGGATTTCTGAGGTGTAAATACTCATATTGAAAATTTAACATCTGGTTCTTAACATCCCTGGAGAATGTTTATATTTAAAGTATCCCCAACACTTAGTAGAGTACTTTGCACATAGTAAGTGTTTAATAATTGCTCTTTCTTTCTTTCTTTCCTTCTTTCTTTCTTTCTTTCTTTCTCTTTCTTTCTTTCTTTCTTTCTTTCTTTCATTCATTCATTCCACTACTGTGGATACTATACTTCTCTTAATACCACTTAAGTCTGTGTTAGGTTTTTTTGGGTTGCCATATTGTATTGATTCACTTTAAACTTAAAGTACACTAAAACCCCTAGATCTTTTCAAATGAGCTTTTGTCTGTGATGAATATTCACCTTCCTGTACTAGAACAGTTGATTCTTTGTACCCAAATGTTGGATTTTACAATAATCCTTATTAAATTTTTTTTTGGCTAGGCAATAGAGTTAAGTGACTTGCCCAGGGCCACACAGCTAGCAAGTGTTATGTGTCTGAGGCGGATTTAAACTCGGGTCCTCCTGAATCCAGGGCTGGAGCTCTAGCTACTGTGCCACCTAGCTGCCTCTAATTCTTCTTAAATTTTATCTACATTTAGCCCATTTTCCAGTATGAATTATATCTGTATGCAGATTTTGTCATTCAGTATAACAGTTCTCAAACTTTTTAGTCTCAAGACTCCTTTAAACTCTTTTAAAAAAAATAGTATTAGTATTAGTGTATGTATTAGTAAGACTCTCTTAAACTCTTAAAACTCTCTTCTCTACCAAAGAGCTTTTGTTTATGAGGGCATATCTATTTACTGTATTAGAGATTAAATATCTTAATATTATTATGAAAATAGTTTTGACCTTGCTGATCCCATGAAAGGGTCTTGGAGACCCCCAGGGATCCCTGGATGATACCTTGAGAATTGCTGACCTAATATGTTAACCATTCCTACAATCTTCATAACATCCACAAATTTCACAAACATACAATTTCTGCCTTCATCCAAGTCCTTGATAAAAATGTTAAGAAGAATTTAGCCAAGGATAGAGAACTGGTGGTACTCTATTAGACATTTCATTTCAAATTCAACTGAAGAAACATTTACCAAGTTTCTACTATATTTAAGACACTGTAGTAGGTTCTGGGCATTGAAAGACAAAAATAAAACAATACCTTCAAAGAGCTTACTTTTAACTTGGAAGATAAGACACACAAAAGTAAGCAACTACAAGGTTAATTTGAAGAGGGAGAGAGCAGTGACAACTTGGAAAGGAAATGCAATCAAGGACACAAGTGGAGGGTTTGGCCTTGGGAAAGAGAAGCACCTCTTTTTCCTTAGAAGTTAGGGCCAAGGAAGTTAGGATGGATGAAGACCTAGAGGAGTTTTGATTGTAGAGAAGAAAAGGAGATCATGATGGATGATCTCAATTGTGTCGTCTGCTAAGAAAGAAGAAGGGTGGCACAGAGAACTTAAGAATAGAAGAGTGTGTCTCTTCTTCCTGACCTTCCACAAGTTTGCCACAGGAAGTCCCACCCAAGGTGCTGGAGGTCTTCCTCACTTTCTCCTCACATCACAAGGTTTCTGGTAGAACACTTGGGCTGTTACTTGTCATCTCTTACTCTTGACTCTCTTCTTTTCTTGCTTTCATATTCTTTGGTGATGTTCTTTGGTACTGTTTGGAGTTCCTGACTGGTCAGACATTGTAGCCTACTTACACCTATGATGTGCCTCTCTTTTGTCCTCTGTAGGCAAATCCTCCTTAGAAAGGTATTTGGAGCCAGTATTTGGGCTCCATATGTCAACACCGCATGTCAAAATCAACAAAATGTTAAGATTGAAAGACGGATCTTTCTTTTCATAGTAAGCTTGAGCTCGATAAAAGAACTTTGCAATTTCCTGAAGGAAATCTGCCCACTCTTCCCCTCCTTTCCAACTCTGGACCCAGCTTATTGTCCCTTTATATCGCCTGTTCCAGATGTATGTACTGTTGGATAAACTCTATGGGATAGCCGTCCCAGTGCATATAGAAATCTGAGCAGTAGACATTCACAGGATTGTAAGATCATAGATTTAGGGATAGAAAGGACTGGTCAGGCCATTCCCCTAACTTCATAGATGAGGAAACAGCCTGAAGAAGGTTAAATAACTTGCCCAGGGTCACACAGCTAGTAAGTTTCTGAGGCAGGATTTGAACTCAGTTTTCCCTGATTCCAAGTCCAGCACTCTACCCTCTGTATAACCTAGCCACATCTTCATCCACTTTGTCTTTCTTATGTGGATGGACGGAGCAAACTCCTTTGAGTAAGTACAGATATATTCCAGGAGGCTCAGAAATGTCCTGGGACTTGCTGCAATCAGTTCAATTTAATCTACAAACAGGTGTGTCTGGAGGACTTCATCAGGCACAGGGAATCCCTTCTTGATCTGGATTCTATGCTGGATTTTCTCCAGCAGTGTCAAATATCTTTGGCAAGCATATATCTCCCTGTTTTATGCCTTTCCTGATGTTTATCGAATAGCATTATTTCTTTCATTATATTTTCTAAGGAATCCTGAAAAATCTTGATATGTGGATGGGAGACACTGAAGGGAGCATTTTGTTCTGCTGAATTAAATACTTTTTTTTGGCTTTTTTTCTCTTCTTTTTTGTAATTCATAAATAACAAACACCATAGGATCTCATAGACCCCTATAGCTTTCAATTAACTATGAGATTTTAAAGATATGACCAATGTTGTATATAATTTTCAAAAGCCTATTTATTTCTCTTCTAATACTTTAATTAAGGATGCTCTTAATTTGTGTGTGACTCATAAAGATTTTGTTATATACTTGTTATATAACACTTGTATATTATTATATATTATATATAATTATGTAGCTTGTTATATAATACTTGAATTGTTTCTTTCTGGATGCTTGCAATATTTTCTCCTTGACCTGGAAACTCTTGAATTTGGCTACAGTATTCCTAGGAATTTTCCTTTGGGGATTCTTTCAGGAGGCAGTCAGTGGAATCCTTCAATTTCTATTTTAACCTCTGGTTCTTCTCTGATATTCTTCAGGGCAGTTTTCCTTGATAATTTCTTGAAAGATGATGTCTAGACTCTTTTTTTGGTCATGGCTTTCAGATAGTCCAACAATTTTAAAACTCTCTCTCCTGGATCTATTTTCCAGGTCAGTTGTTTTTCCACTGAGATATTTTACATTGTCTTTTATTTTTTCATTCTTTTGGTTTTGTTTTACAATGTCTTGATTTCTCATAAAGTCACTAGCTTCCATTTGCTCCACTCTAATTTTTAAGGAAGTATTTTCTTCAGTGAGCTTTTGGACTTCCCTTTCCATTTGGCCAGTTCTGCTTTTGAAGGCATTCTTCTCCTCATTGCTTTTTGGACCTTTTTTGCCATTTGGGTTAGGCTATTTTTTTATTTTCATTTTTTTTTAATTTTAATTTTTTAATTTTTTCCATATGCTTTTGAGTTGAAAATTTTTCTCCCTTTTCCTCCCCCTCCCCCTCCCCAAGACAGCACACAATCTGATATAGGCCTTACATTTACATACCCATTAAACATATTTTCACATTAGTGAAGTTGTAAGTAAAAATTAAAACCAATAGGAGGAACCATCAGAAAGATGAAACAAAACTCAACAGAAGGTAAAAATAAGTGATAGCAATTTGACTTCCATAGTTCTTTCTTTGGATGTGGACAGCATTTTCCATCCCGAGGCCTCTGAAGATGTCTTAGATCCTTGTAATGCTGAGAAGGGTTCAGTTTAACAATCTTAGTCATTGCATAACGTGGCTGTTATTGTGTACAAATCCTCTTGGTTCTGCTCACTTCACTCAGCATCACACCATATAAGTCTTTCCCGGTTTTTCTGAAGTCAGCCTGTTCATCATTTCTTATAGCACAATAGTATTCCATTATATTAATATACCACAACTTGCTCAGCCATTCCCCAATTAATGGCCATCCTCTCAATTTCCAATTCTTTGCCACCACAAAAAGAGCTGCTATGAATATTTTTATACATGTGGGTCCTTTTCCCATTTGTTTGATCTCTTTGGGATATAGCCCTAGAAGCACTATTGCTGGATCAAAGGGTATGCACATTTTTGTAGCCCTTTGGGCATAGTTCCAAATTGTTCTCCAAAATGGTTGGATTATTTCACAACTCCACCAGCAATGTTTTAGCATTCCAATTTTCCCACATCCTCTCCAACATTTATCATTTTCCTGTTTTGTCATGTTGGCCAATCTGATAGGTGTGATGTGGTACCTCAGAGTTGTTTTGATTTGCATTTCTCTAATCAATGATGATGTAGAGCATCTTTTCATATGCCTATAG